GATTTTCTATTTCTGTATTATTCAGCCTTGGTGTAAGTTGTATGTTTCCAGGAATTTATCCGTTTCTTCTAGGTTATCTAATTTGTTGGCATATCTTTATAGTAGTCTCTTATAATCATTTGTATTTCTGTGGTATCAATTGTAATGTCTCATCTTTCATTTATAATTTTGTCTTTTTTTTAGTTCAGCTAAAATTGATAAAATTTGTCAATTTTATCTTTTCAGAAATCTCTTGGTTTTATTAATCTTTTCTATTGTTTTTCTAGTCTCCATTTATTTTTGCTGTGTTGTTCATTTTTTTCCTTCTGACTTTGGGCTGTTCTTTTTCTAATTCCTTGAGGTGTAAAGTTAAGTTTATTTGAGATCTTTCTTCCTTAATATAGGAGTTTGTTGCTGTAAACTTCCTTGTAGTACTGCTTTTGCTGCATCTCTTAAGTTTTGGTTTGTTGAAAACCGTCCCCCCCAAAAAAAAAAAAAAACTGGAGGCATCATACTATTGACTTCAAAATATACTAAAAAGCTGTCATCGAAACAGCATAGCAATGGCGTAAAAACAGACATATAGACCAATGGAACAGAATAGAGACCCCAGAAATAATTCATATTTACAGTCGGTGGCTCTTTGACAAAGTTGCCAAGAACACACAATGGAGGAAAGAGTCTCTTCAGTAAATGATGTTGGAAAAACTGGACATCCACAACAGAAAAATTAAACCCCTTTCTCACACCGTATACAAAAATCAACTCAAAATGGACTAAAGATTGGGCGGCATGGCTCAGGGGTAGAGGATTTGACTGCAGAATGGACTAAAGACTTAGTAAGATCCAAAAGTATAAAACTACTTGAAGAACACACAGAGATAAAGCTTCTTGACATTAGTCTGGGCAATGATGTTTTAGATATGACCTCAGAAGTACAACAGAAGCAAACATAGACAAATGGGATTGTGTTAAACTAAAAAAAAATGCTGCATAGAAAAGGAAACACACAATAGAATGAAGAGACAGCCTATAGAATGGGATGAAGTGTTTGCAGACCATACATCTGATAGGGGGTTAATATCTAAAATATACAAGCAACCCATACAACTCAATAGCAAGAAAACAAATAACCTGATTTAAAAATGAACAAAGGACCTTAATAGACATTTCTCAATAGAAGACATACGAATGACCAACAGATATATGAAAAGGTGCTCGATATTACTAATCAGGGAAATGCATATTAAAGCCACAGTGAGCGGCCAGGTGCAGTAGCTCATGCCTGTAATCCCAGCACTTTGAGAGGCCAAGGCAGGCAGATCAGTTGAGGTCAGGAGTTCAAGACTGGCCTAGCCACATGGCAAAACCTCATCTCTGCTAAAAAATACAAAACCACAGTGAGATATCACCTCACATCTACTAGAATGGGTGTTATCAACGGCAAAAGGTAACAAATGTGTTGGGAAAATGTGAGATAAAGGGACCCTCTTAGACTTTTGATGAGAATGTTAGTACAACCAATATGGAAAATAGTGTGAGTATGGAAGTTCTGCAGAAAATAAAAACTGAACTTCTGTATGATCCACCAATCCTACTTCTGGGTATATATCCAAAGGAACTGAAATCAAAGAGATACCTGTACGCCTGTGTCCCTCGAAGCATGATTCCCAATAGTCAAGATATGGAGACGATGGAAGTGTTCATCAGTAGATGAATGGGTAAAGAAAATATGGTATATGTGTACAATGGAATACTCTTCAGCCTTAAAAAAGAAGAAATCCTGTCATTTGCAACAATATAGATGAACCTATTCATAAATGAAATAGCCAGACACAGAAAGACAAATACTGCATTTTCTCACTTATATGTGGCATCCAAGAAAGTCAAACTCTCGCAGAAGCAGAGAGTGGAATGGTGGCTGTCAGGGTCTGGGAGATTAGGGGTACTTGGGAAGATGTTGGTTAAAGGTAAAAAGTTTCAGTTAGGATAAATATGTTCTGGAGATCTATTGTACAGTGTGGTGACTGTAGTTAATGTATACTTGGAAATTACTAAGAGATTAGCTCTTAAATGTTCTCAGCACAAATAAGTGTGAGGTGGATATGTTAATTAGCTAGATTTAATTTCACAGAGTCTATGTACATCAAACCATGTACATTGTAAATATATACAGTTTTTATTTTTTAATTATAACCTTAATAAAAGTGGGAGGAAAAGTGATAAACCGTTAAAGGTAACAAGTTAACTTGTCACCCAACCTATTTATTAATTTTTCTATACAATATAATGTATTTTGAGAACACTGAGACCAGGCGCAGTGGCTCATGCTTGTAATCTCAGCACTTTGGGAGGCCGAGGTGGGCATATAACTTGAGGACAGGAGTTCGAGACCAGCCTGGCCAACATGGTGAAACCCTGTCTCTACTAAAACTACAAAAAAAAATTAGCTGGGCATGGTAGCAGGCGCCTGTAATCCCAGGTACTCGGAAGGCTGAGGCGGGAGAACCGCTCGAACCCAGGAGTTGGAGGTTGCAGTGAGTCAAGATCACACCATTGCAATCCAGCCTGGGCAACAAGAGTGAAACTCCGTCTCAAAAAACAAAACAAAACAAAAAACATTGATGTTTGAAAATCCCCAGGCTTCAGAAGACACACTGCTGTGTGTTTGTCCTTCTATGGAAGTCGGCACAGATCTCAATGACTTGTTCTCATTTCACCAAAAAATGACCATTCTGCTTCATGCCATCAGTGCAGATGGAAAACTAGCAGCAGTTTACAAAGTTTCCACTTTAAAAAACGTAACTCTAATTGATTTTAAAAAGTAGTTGATTGTTGCAAGACTTGACATTTCTCTAGTTAATTTCTATGCCTGATGTTTTGCTCCTTACCATCTTCAAAATCTGAATCCACATCCAGGGCTTCTCTGTTAGGAGGCTCCATATCATATCTCTTTAATCCTGATAATTTCTCAATTTTTTGTTTCCTGCCTACCTACCTATTTTCTTAGACTACCTTTATTTGCTTAGTAAATATAACATTTCATATTCTGTTACTTTTATTTTTATTTTTATTTTTATTTTATTTTTATTTTTGAGGTAAGCTTCTGTTGCCCAGGCTGGAGTGCAATGGCATGATCATGGCTCACTGCAACCTCCGTTTCCTAGGCTCAAGTGATCTTCCCACCTCAGCCTCCTGAGTAGCTGGGACCACAAGTGTACACCACCATGCCCGGCCAATTTTTTTTATTTTTTGTAAAGACAGAGTTTCACCATATTGCCCAGACTGGTCTTGAACCCCTGGAATCAAACAAGCCACCCCCGCTCAGCCTCCCAAAGTGCTAGGAGTACAGGCATGAGCCACTGCACTGGGCCCTGTTAACTTCTTATGTCATTTCCCCACTTTAATATATTTGAGGACTAGTTCTGTGTTGTTTATGTGTTTTAACATCACTACAGCATCTGGTGCAGAGAGGGGCATTCTGTAGTCATGGTACTTCTTATCTTTACTATTGCTGATGAGCCATAACAAATTTGAGATTAACAATTAATAGATGGACCGGGCAACAAACACTATGTGGAGGAATAAGTGAGGCCGAAGCTGATGGATGATGCAAAGCGGAGATGTAACATATTTCATTGGGGAACCAGACAAATAAGCAGAGTAAGCCCTCTGATAGGGGAAGTACGGGCTGTTATGGGCACGTAATACTGGGAACATTAGTGGAAGGTGGAGGTCAGAGAGTTGAAGCTGAAACCTGTTGGGTGAGGTGGAGTTAGCCAGGTGAAGTGGTAGATTTGGGGAAGAGGAGAGGAGGGGGAGCATCCTGTGTTTAGAACCAAAGAGAGTTTAGTGTATGATTGTTGGGTGGAGGGGGTGGGAGGGTAGGTCATAAAGGGCCTGGTAAATTGTTAAGAAATTTTAAACTTTATCTCAAGGGTGGTGGGAAATCACAAGTTTTAAGTTGGTAGGTGAAGTGCTGGCTGGAAGAACCCCTCCAGCTTGGGTGTGTGAGGGTGGCCTGAGAATGGAGGCACCTGTAGTAATCCCCCAGTGAGAAATTGTAGCCTGAGCTGGCCGTGGGACTAGAAAAAGTGGACAAATGGCAGTTTAGGAGTAGAATCTCTGTGAGTTGATTGAATGGGGAGAGGGAAACATCAAGCCCAGTGCCCAGACTTCTGGGAGGATCTGGCTGCTACTCAGTGAAAGGAAGCCTGGGAGGTTTGTGAGGGCAGATCATGAGCCCATTTATGGACATATTGAGTTCAAGGATCTACAGGTCATTGAAGGGGAAATGTGAGCTTGAACCCTGCATTTAAGTTCAGAAAACAGAGCACAATGAATTGAGTTCTGGGAGTCTTTTCCATGTGGATGGTAACTGCAGCGGATGAGATAATAAGATCACCTAGTTAGAGGTGGGGGAGCAGAAGAGGGCTTAGGGCAGAACTCTGAAGAGCAACCTGCAAAGGAGACTGAGGAAGAATGGACAGAAAGCATGGAGGAAACCTTCAAGGGTGCATTTCAAGGTGGCAGTGGTTACCAGCATTAGCTCCTGCAGAGCCATGAGAATTGAGTCATTTCTGCTGGGCTTAGCAACAAGAACTTTCAGGGGCTTCATGGCAGAGTGACAGCATATGGAGATGCAGTACTTCTCTTGGCCTGTACAGAGCCTCTCCCCGCCACCCCCCGCCCTGCAAGACGGAGTCTCGCTGCTCTGTCACCCAAGCTGGAGTGCAGTGACGTGATCTTGGCTCACTGCAACCTCTGCCTCATGGGTTCAGGGGATTCTCCCGCCTCAGCCTCCCAAGTAGCTGGTATTACAGGCATGCACCACCATGCCAGGAAATTTTTTTGTAGATTTTAGTAGACAGGGTTTTGCTGTGTTGGCCAGGCTGGTCTCAAACTCCTAACCTCAAGTGATCCGCCCACCTCAGCCTCCCAAAGTGCTGGGATTACAGGCATGAGCCACCGCGCCCTGCTAGTACAGAGCCTTTGAGGACATTCGAAAATGTGTGCCTTTCTGGATGGACATAGTCCCTGGTTTGGTGAGTGGACCGTGTGTGGGACTTCAGCTCTTAGGTACCACCTTAGCTGGGTGCACTTGTTTAGTATGCGGAATACACCTTCCATGCATGGTGACCTAGGATATATCTGCACTGCTCAATCTAGGGCAGTGTTGCCTCCCAGGGGACATTTGGCAATATCCGAAGAAATTTATGATGGTTAAAACTGAACCAGAGAGGGTAGGTGCTACTGTCATCTAGTAGGTAAAGGCCAGAGATGCTGCTAAACACTCTGCAGTGTCCAGGACAACTCCCAACAACAAAGAATTATCCAGCCCCAAATACTAATTGTGCTGAGAAACCCTGGTGTCTGTGAACCTTTCAGGCTTAAGGGGAAAGGCGGTGAGAGAGGGTGATAGCTGGAGGTGGGTGGACCTGAGAACAGTCACCTTGCATACTTTGCTGCAGTCTCATTTGCTTGTGGCAGTTTTCACCTTGCCTCTCCCACCCCTCTACCATAGAACTCTTATTCATCACGTTGTAGGTTTCATCTGTTTATTCTTATGTAGCCATTTTCACTATTCCCTCTCCCACCCCCACTCTCCCTGAGCAGTAAATTCTGTGCAATCTTGTGTACTTAATTTCTGTTTCTGGGCACACTGTAAAACATCTGTATTTTAATAGTATCTGTCAGGAAATTCTATTTTGGCAACCAAGTATGGGCTAATCTAAAGTAGCCCATACTTCAGTGCTGTGTTGATAAGGCTTTAATGCATAGTTAGCCCCTTGACTGTCAGGCTTGGAAAAAAGACAGGAAGTATTCCTTGTCTTTGGAAAGGAGCCTACTCTGGCTTTGGGAAGGAAAGAGTACAAATGGTTCTCACCAGATAGGGTTGCAGCAGCTCTCCCAGCATTTTGGGAACAAATCAGGTCATTATCTCAACAATGTCAAAACTGTGTTCCCAGATCAGTTGTTGTTTGAAACATTTGGGGCTGATACTGAGGAGAAGAATTAATTAGCAGCTCCCTCTCTTGGTGTTCTTTTTCAGCCTTCTCAAATTGCAGGACGAGAGTCCCTTAGACATGCTGGCTGCTCATTTGGTAATCTGTATTTTGCTCAGTACAAAAGGTTGCTGGCTAAGTTTTGTGAGCCCCTCTAATGTCAGGCTGACAGTGTCTTGGGTTCAATTAACAAGAACGTTTACAGTAACATTTTGTCAATGGGGAAGGACTTGAATTCACAGAACTGTCTTGGAAAGCCCTGGGTAAGTTTGAAGAGCGAAGTTGCCTTTTCTGTTTTCAGAAATATTTTACCCTGAAACAATGTATAAATCTAAAGTCTATGCAAGAATGAAAACAAGCTTGAATATTAAGATTTGGCACAGAGTGTGTGCAAGCAATGAGACTGGGTTAAAAACAGGAAGTGTCTTAATTTAAAGATGGTGATGGGGAGACAGATTAAGATAAACTGCTGGTCATGTTGAATCTGAAATAGGCAGGCCTTGGTTGTGGGCACATTCCCTTCTGAATTGCTCTTTATGCAGATATATTTTAGACATCTTTCTATTAAATTGTCTCACATTTAAGAGAGGGTTTCAAAGATAGGGCTAGTGATAAGAATTCTCTTCCTGCATGGTGGGTACTGTTATATAAATGATATAAGCATGTTTTTCTTGTGTCTGTGTATAACTGCTTGGTCTGCCACTCTACAAAATAGTAAATCACATTGGAGCTTTTACATTTCTGTAGTGGACTAACCCATGCTATGAAAGAGGAATGTGGTGGTGGACAAAAAGTGGTAAGTTTTAGGCTGAAGGATGTTGATGTTAAAAAAAAGCCTGAGATCATCTAACTTTCTTTTTTTTTTCCCTTAGGACTGCAGGAAGTGTTGTTAAACATCTGTTTAAGTTGCCTATACCATGAAATCCATAATCTTCGTTCATAACTATGATAGCATATGGTTTTCTGTAGTTAAGAAAACTATTTCTCATGTATTTCATGGTTTGGCCAAATCCTTTTATTACATTAGTACTAAACAATTCCTTATGATTTCTTGAGAAAAGAATGTTGTGGATAAATAAGGGAAAGTAAGATAATTATGAAACTTTAGTATCAGCAGTCATTCTAAACCACATTGCACACCTTCAGTAAAAGTGGTTACAAAAGGTTTTTCTCACTTCAGGCAGCTAGCAAAAGATCCTCCAGGAAAGAGTCCTAGCTTTTTCTTCGTGTTATTTTAGGTATTAACTCAGGAGGGCTTTCTGAAGGTTTGTCAGTGAGATAGTTGGGGGGTTCCTGAGCTTTTTATTGCTGTAGGTGAACTTGGTACTTCTTTGGCTTTTAAACCCTCAGCAGCATGTACAGATGCCCTCACATGCTTTCTGGGTTGACTTTAACACTAAATAGCAGGGGTATTTCTCAAGAATGTTTAAGAAAAGAATGCAAACAGATTTATTTGCACAAACATATATTTGTGACTTCTGTGAAAAAATTCCAATAGTTGTAATAGAGGAAGTTTTTATAAACGCACCCCTACCAACTAACCCATCGTGTATTTTTATGTGTGTATAGAAAAAATATGAAAGGATATACTAAAATGTTAATTGCAGAGTTTCTCTGGGAATTGAGAGAATTTAATTAAAATTTTTTATCAAGATTTTTAAAGTTTTATAATGACCATGTTATGTTTGTGTAATAAAAATGAAATAGAGGCTAGGCACAGTGGCTCACACCTGTAATCCCAGCACTTTGCGAGGCTGAGATGGGAGGATTGCTTGAGCCCAGGAGTTCAAGACCAGCCTGGGCAACATAGTAAAACTCTATTTTTAAAAAATAAAATGAGAGAGGGACAGTAAATGCAAATATATAAATGACAGAAATTTTATGGTCTGGTCAAAGAACTGTCATTGCATGAAATTACACATATGATCACATAGAATTACTTTTTTTTGTTATAATCCCACTAATTACATTGTAAAGTTTCTTTTCTCGTTTTTTTTCCTACTTTTTCCACAGAAAAACAGGACAAGGAAACCTGTGTGAATTTTCAGCTTTTCACCTTTTCTTCTCTGATTTTATTTTGTCCTCACTCTTACTCTGACAGTCCTCCCAGGCCTCTTGAGAGAATAGAGAAGAGCCCCTCCCAGAACCTTCCTGTAAGGTCTCCCCGCTGACTTCCTGTAGTGGATGTGACTGTGTGCCAGGTGCCTGCCGAAGACTCCTGTCACTGACTGTGCCCTTTGGGAAAAGAGTAAACAATGGCCTCCTCCTATGGCTGACTTCGTTCATGTTCAGGCTCTCCAACTTGCTGGTGAGAATTGCCAAGGAGTGGTTCATGGCAGGATAGAACTAAACTGATAGATGAAAGCTCCACAGTGCTTCAAGACAGGCTCCTGTTTGTGTTTAGCAGTTTTCCTTCCTTCAAAATAAAAAAACTAGCAGTCCTTAGGGAGGACAGTTTTTTCCTTCCTTTTCCTATTCTGGCTCCAACAGCTGTCTCAACACAACCTGAGATGGGGATCAACCTGGCTTCCACTGGCAATAGCTGTATTGTGGGAGTGTGAGAGAGAAGCCACCTTTTCCTCCCTCTGCCCGAGCCACCTGGCCCCTTTGTTCTTTCTCCTCATCGTTCTCTGGGGTACGAGTGGCTGTGACTCTATGACATAGGAACTAGGAAGCTGGTGGGGGGAGGCGTGTAAATCCTCATGCAGGTGGTGGTTATTGTCTGTGTGGAGGAAATAAGCCCAATTCTTCCTGGAGATGTGCTTTCATCTCCTTCTAGCTTCCACAGGGTGAAATGAACCTTAATGGAGGTTGGGGGATTGTACACACACAGTCCTGGGTTGAGGGGGCAGTGGTCAGAAAGTTCCCTAGGGAAATATACAAAGGAGAATTAACACTGGGGACACTGAGGTGGGTTTTGGTCCTTTCCACATAACTGACACCTTTCACGAGAAAAGACTTGCTTTCTTGTGTGGAATGTCAGCAGTCGCAACACCACTGGGTTGGATGCAGGATAATTATTCAGAATCACGAGTTACCTGTTTGCAAGCAATCACATTGCAGGTGGGATAAATAAGCAGTCTGTGATAGGTTCCCCCCCTCAACCGCCCCCCCACCGGGGGAGATTGTAATTTTAAGTATTGTTTTGGATATTGGTAATTCTAAAGCTCCAATCTTAACTGGGTTTTATGAAAGCTGTTATAGGGTGTTTATTACTTAAAAAAAAAAAAACCCACTTATTATTTAATAACACGGTGCCTAGCCACTCCTTTCTCTCCACATCCGTACATGAAGCCTGATTGCAGATCTTGAACAGTATATTTCTTTGGGCTAAGCAGCAAGAACAGATAAGATATCTTACCAAAACACCACTATCAGGGCCAGGTGGCGTGGCTCACACCTACAATCCCAGCAATTTGGGAAGCTGAGGTGGGAGGATTGCTTGAGGTCAGGAGTTTGAGGCTGCAATGAGTTATCGCAGCACTGCACTCCAGCCTGAGCAACAGAGGGAGACCCTGTCTCTAATAAAACAAAAACGTTACACCATTGTCGGAAAGTGACTTGGTCTCCTTTGTTGGATTAAATTCTCTCACGTGCAAGGTGGTGGCCAGCAGCCTAAGATACACAAGCTCTTCACTGTAGATGTTTGGTGGTGTGGGAGTTACAAGGTTAATTATGAGTGTAAGGCCCAGGAGTCTTTTCTTCCTAACAATTTCATGTTATCCTACTTCTTTTTCCATTCTTTCTCTGAACTGTCTTTGTACTTTATTAAACTCTTCTTTTTCCCAGACTCCAGAATAATTTCCTGTGATAATATTTTAGCAGTTTCTCCAAGAAAAGGTTCCAGGAGTCTTTAAATCCAGCCCTCTTTCTGCTGTATCTTTGTGCCTCATGTCTTGAGAGAAGTTGAGTGGTAGAAAGTAAAGCTGAAAAAGAGATGGGTGAGGGAGGAAAGCCAAGATGGAAAATGGATGGGAATGAATGAGGAACGTGATGTGGGTTGGGGTGGCAATTCATGGTTAATACAGCATGTATGGCTCAGTATAACCAGATTGTCATAAGAAGCTCAGGCAGCTCTCCCCCTCTGTTTCCTGGGGCTTTTTGCAGTTACAATAAAGGTGGAAAGATGAAGAATGAGAGCAAGCAGAAAACACACATTTGCGTGTTTTCTCTCTTTTTACCCAGATTGAGTAGATGGGAGGCACAGCTGTTACCCATGATGGTATTTCATACCAGATTCAATCTACTAGTTTGTTTGGTTTTATAGGCATGATTCCCAAATTTTGAATCTGAAGTTAGCTGTCAGTTTAAATTCAGAGGGTCCACAGTTTTTCAGATTTTTCTTGATTCTGCTTTTGGAAACCAGAAAGATGTTGAATTTACTTTTCATCTGACAATATTGCACATCTGTGAACCCAACTGATCTGAAAGTGTTTACCTCTTAACTCTGTGAAGTCAACAGGTGATCCTGGATGGCTGAGACAACGGCGAGGACCGGGTATAATGGTTACTCTCACCTGTGCTCCAGACTCTCCACTTGGTGCTAGAAATACAGCAGTGAACAGACATGTTCTTGCCTCCACACAGCTTGCAGTTTAGCAGGGCAAACTGACAACTTTAAAAGACACGATCAATGTTGTTATAATGGTGGTAAGAGTTTCAAAATAAGGGGCCAGGTGCAGTGTCTCACGCCTGTAATCCCAGCACTTTGAGAGGCCAAGGCAGGAGGATTGCGTGAGCCCAGGAGTTGGAGACCACCCTGGGCAACATAGCAAGACCTTGTTTCTTCAAAAAAATATCAAAAATTAGCTGAATGTGTTGGCGTGCACCTGTGGTCCCAGCTACCCAGGACGCTGAGGTGGGAGGATCACTTGAGCTCAGGTGGTCAAGGCTGCAACAAGCTGTGATTCCAGCCTGGGTGAGTGAGACCCTGTCTCAAAAAAAACAAAAATAAAGGGAGCATGTAACAGGAGGATCTAATCTAGCCTAGGCAAGAAGAGCATTCTTGAGAAGTGCCTTAAGACCTGAAGGACTGATTGAATTGTCCGTATGAAGACTGGCAGTGGGTGCTCTGAGAGGGAAAAGCAGAAACGGCGTATGCAAAGACACTGAGGTAGAAAAGGAGCTCTGGCCTGCTTGTGTGGTTACTGTGGGAGAATGAACAGTAAGAAGACAAAAGTAGAAGCAAGAAGACCAATCAGGAGGTTGCCTAACTAAGGTCAGTTAGCTGGTGATTGCCCAAGCCAAGACTCAAACTTATTTT